AGGCGCCCCGGGGTGGGCGGGCGGGCGGGTCGCAGTTCGGACGGGTGGTGGTGTGGGGGGCGCCCCGAGCCATGGAGATGAGGCAGAGATGGTCCACCAGGTGGAAAACGAAACGGTGGTTCTGGGACTCCGCGTTACCCGCGCTCCTCATCACGTTGACGCTCCTGCTGGAGGCTGCGGAGGTCAGAGGAGGTAAGCAAGGATGGGCTCAGTGGGCCGGTTGGCCAGCTTTCCTCCCCGCTGAAGTTCAGCGCGCACGACTGTCCTCGGTTGCTCACCGCTCTGGATTCCTGATCTAAGGTGATAGTTGGCTGTTTTCGGTGGCTGGGGGAAAACGCACTCTGCACATGCTCAAAGGCATTCCCTTCTGGGTATGAGCCCTAAAGCTACTCTCTCTCACCGATTCAGACCTCCCCTCCAGGATTTCCCCGGACAAAGCCGGGTTGTAGGGGGAGACCTGACACCTCTGAATGCAGGCTTGGGGAACCGAGGACTAAGGTGCTTGGAAAGATTTAGTTCTCCTTTCCCCCCCAAATTCTCGTTGTTTAAGCTTATCATCTGCTCTCTGCTCTGCTAGTGCTTTAAAAACGCCCTAAATGAAGGGGAGGGGGAGCTGGAAAGTTGGGCGGAGGGAGAAATCCTGAAATTGAGGGGAGAAATCAGAGAACCTCCTGAGCAAAGATACTTTTCTTTGTGTGGCCGGCTAATTTTTAAAACGGGGGGGGGGGGTTCTGCCCCTTCCAGGTTCCACATACCACCATTGTCTCTGGTCTCTTGAACTTGACGAAGTCATTAAGTTGATCAAGTTCATAAAATCTTGACTAAAGTGAAATTAAAGGGTGGGAAGCAATGCTCTTTCTAAGCTGTGGAGTCTTGTGAGAAAAAAGATTCTGCTTTGTGAGCTACTGGCATTAAAGTTGTGAGCAAGCGATTTGGCTGCTGCATATATTAGTTTGCTCTGGAGCCATCCTTCCTGAGCTAAGACAGAAATGTGAGCCGGAGGCTAAAAAACTGTGAGCTAGCTCATACTAACCCATCTTAGAGGGAACGCTGGTGGGAAGGGAGTCTTTGCAAACTCTGCCTTGATAGGTGATGGAAGTGACTATATCAATGACAACTTTCTTTAAAAGAAAGGTGCCCCAAATACTGTGCAAAATTTGTTTATGAAGATAAGCATAAGGTTTTGTGCAGCAACTAAACTCTCTAAGATCTTGAAGGAGAAGAGGATTGTGCTCAAGTGGAAAGAGACTAACCCACACAGGCACTCCTATTTGGGTATGTGGATTTTCTGGGATAGCAAGAGAAATAAGTAGATAAAGAGACAAATTAGAATGGACAGGACTGTGCAGACTTTTGAATGAAATAGGTCTTTTGGGGTAGATTTTTTTTTTGGCACACGGGAAGGCTTGCAGTTTTTGAGCACAGCAGGAGTTGGCTAGTCTGCAATATTATTTCTCACCTGTTGCCCCCCTCCCCCTCAACAAGATTCAGTGGTGTCTACTGAGCATACGTGGCAAGGCAGAGATAAAAGTTCAATGCATAGAGGAATCTCCTCCCTCTCCCCTCCTCTAAGGTGCATCCTTGGGCAGAAGGCGTGGAGTGGAGTGAGTGGTCCGTTGGGTGTCTGTGGGCACATGTGAGCTCAGTGCAGTCCCTGGGACTTTGTAGGCACCAGAGGAAAGTTTGGCATTTTAAGGAGCTCTGTGGGGGAGAGTGGGTGATAACGGGAGGGGTTATCTTTTCCATTTCTGGATGTTGATCCAAAGGGGGGTTGATTTGGGGCACAAGCCCACTGCTTAGTCAGAACAGCAGCTGAACAGTCCTGCGTCTGGTAACCATAATAGGAAGAACAGCAACCTGAAGGGAGGCGCTCCTTGGAAACCCGTGGGCTGACATTACAGAGATCTTCTTGTCTCCAAAGCTTGGCTGTGGTGCTGTGTTTCCCATCTCCATGGACCTACGCTGTGACCTCATTCTTTGTTAACTTCTTCTGTCCAATGAAAGCTGCTGAAGCAATTAGGCTGTTTTTGTGTGTCCATCCTGCAGCTTTTGCATCCTTAAGGGTCGTTACCCCCCCAAAAAAAACTTGAGTAGTTTCTGAAGGAAATCTCCTGCTATGACTTCACGCACAAAAAGTTCTGCCTGTGTGTTGGTCCCGCTCACGATTGGAGTCTGGTGGCCAATGCTTCCTCTAAGCTGTGGAGTCTTGTGAGCAAAAATTCTACTTTGTGAGCTACTGGAATTAAAGTTGTGAGCGAGGGCTTTGGCTACTGCATGAATTAGGTTGCTCTGGAGTCATCCTTCCTGAGCTAAGACAGAAATGTGTGAGCCGGAGGCTAAAAACATGTGAGCTAGCTCACACTCAGCTTAGAGGGAACACCAGTGGTAGCCATGGATGAGAAAGGTGCTCTGTGAGAGTTTCCTTTCAGCCTTTGGGTTCCTGCTCACCTCTTGGACTTGAGTGTCAGTCACGTCTGCCAGTCTTTCTGCCCCCTGCTGGCTTGAAGCGCAACTCAGAAGGGAGATGGACAAATCCAGCCTTGCTTCTCCTCACCTCTTGCATTCTGCAATTAATTATCCCCCTTTTCTCCATCCCTTTGGGGCTTGGGCACGTGCAGGGGTATGGGTTTTGACTACCGCATGCAAAGTGAAGTCATTTACTAAGGGATTAGGAAGATAAAGTTGATTATTCATGTTTGATTCTGGTTTCTTTCTGTTCCTTAAAAAAAAATAAAAGAAAATTAAAGCTCCTGATGTGATTTCCAGACTCATCTTGGCTAGCTGCTTTGTTCCTTGGATCTAAGAAGGAAATGAGAGTCTGTGCTGAAAAGAGGGTGTTGAGGATTGCTTCAGATGAAACTTGCTTTTTAAAAGTACAGCTCAGATGACTTAAAATATGTTGGCAAGGGTTTTGCTGCACGGTGCTGCTTTCAGGAGGATGTGATCCGAAGCACACTGATTTGGAATAAAGTTTTGCTGGGAGCAGTAGGCCTTGCTTTCAAGTACATACTGCTTCAGTCTTGCTGAGAGTTTTCATCTCATCTTTATGTTTCTACAAAATCTAGGGCAGCGGTTACACTTTAGATGCATTTCTTTGTATAGACCATAAGGATACCAAAAAAGTCAGTGACTATACAGAAAAATAAAACAAACCACTTGAGGTAAATGATGGCCATTACTGATATAACTGGTTGATTTCTAAGGTATGAACATGAATAATATCATCAGCATCAAATATGTATACTAAAAGATGGTTGCACTGTATACATAAAGAAGATTGCAGTCCTAACTGTTTACTTGTAAGCAACTCCCATTAATTTCAATGGAATTCATGTAAGGCTGCAATCCTATGCACTTACTTGAGAGTAAGCCCCAATGTAATCAGTAAACATACATCCAATTTAATACTTAGCCATACTGCTCAATCCTGATCAGAGGTGCTTCTGTTTGTATAGGAATGTAGCCTCAGAGCTACTTAGAATGACCTCTCCCACATTCTAACATCCGTGTAAGATTTAATAATCATTTTTAAAATGGCTGGTAATTGACATCCGTAATGGGACTAGGGATAGAGTACTCCCATTCCGGTTTCCCACTAAAAGCAGAGATTGCTGCAGGAGTTAGAACACATTCCAGCAGTTTTTGGCAGAAAATGCTTTTCTTTTTAACAACCTGCAAGTGTATGTCTCTTTGATTCCGCTTCTCACCTTTTTAATATAGGCTCTGTTGGCAGGGGTGCTTGGGATGAATAAATACATTTATTCAAAGCAGCTATAGAAGGCAAGCAATATGATACAATTTATGTCAATGAACCATTGTGACAGTGAATTAAATGTCATGAGAAATATTCAATGAATAACTAAACCATCAAAACCCAAGTTGTCAGGCAACTGAAAAAATCCCTGTTGATTCAGAATAATTCATTCTGATTATAACATGATCCCATATAACACATACATTGCCTTCTGTTATATACTTCTAAAAGTCAACAAGGGGATTCTTTGTATTTCCTAAGCTATGTTTTGAAGCTAATGGGATTTCCAAAATTGGGCCTACTCCTTGTGGCTGAGTATTCCTCAAAGACGATATTGCTTCAACTTGGAAAAATGTATAAAAGAACCATTTGGTTCATAAGCAATTTAAACATTTCTAGGTAGCTGATTGCAAAATTGGAACAACCCTCATACATCCTTGAACTAAATGAATGGCTTGCTCTTCTAAATTCACTTTTGTATGAGCAAATATGATAAGGACTTCATGTGCTTCAACATGGCTTGGATTTGGTCCATGACATATAGTGTTATTTCATTCTAGTATCGACCAACATGCCAACATTTGCAATAGCTGCTGTGAAACTTCTAGCTTGGAGTTGAGAGGCAGAAGAACTTTCGGGGTCACAGGATGCTGTGTGAGGCAGAAGTGTTGAAAAGTTGGCAGCATTATGTGGTTAAATTCCAAAATGTCATAAGAACATAAGAGACACCAATGTTGGATCAGGCCAGTGGCCCATCCAGTCCAACACTCCATCACACAGTAGCCAAAAATATCATGTGGTATCAGGAGGTCCACCAGGACACTAGAAGCCCTCCCACTGTTGCCCCCCCCAGCACCAAGAATACAGAGCATCACTTGTCCCAGACCGAGAGTTCTTTTTTATACCTTGTGGCTAATAGCCACTGATGGATCTCTGCTCCATATGTCTTTGGGCCCTTTAACTTAAAAATAATGAGAACCTGTTTTAATTACAGAGCCATGTACATGGAAAGTTCTGTGCTTCATTTATATTAGCCTCATTGGTCAAATCATAGAATTAAGTGGGTTTTGAGAACTATAAATAGTGCACAAAAATTATTTGAGTCCCAGGGATCAGCGGGTGAGAGGGTCACATCTTCCTCTTTATGCTTACCCTGTCCCTTACAGTTGAGAGAATCAAGAACTTGTCTGATTTGCTGTTAAAATAAAAAACATTTCTGCAACCGACCTGTGGCCAAACATTGATTCCCCCCCCCCTCAGGCAGCTGACACAGAAATATGCCTGGTATGTTGTGTGGGTCGTGCAGTTCTTTACTTGTCCTTCCCAAGGAGGCTTGAGACAGACCCCTGAAAGGAAGGTAGATTTGTTTTCCCCTGAGAATCCCCTCTTGTAGGGTAAAAGTACTTTGTATGTCTATGCTTAACTTAAAATGCACAAA